AATGTAATGTTTTATAGGTAACAACAATGCCGAGTAAACACGACGTTTTCTAGGTAACCAGGTTACACTTTTTTGTCGAATGACCCTTCCTTATAGACGTATTTACGTCAATAATATTTTTTTAAAAAAATTTCACGTACCCCCTAAGATGTCTTCGCGTACCCCCGGGGGTACGCGTACCCCAGGTTGAATACCACTGGATTAGAGGATTGATATAAAATGGTTCTGAAAGAAAAATCAGTTTTAATTTCGTCTTTCCATCTACCTTTCAAATGGTATTTTCCATTTTAAGTTTTCCGATCACTATTATCAGGGCGATCAAGCCCTGATGATGGAGGCAGTAAGTTCTTAAACGTCGGTAAAGTTCTACCAGACTACTCGACGCAACAACCCAGAAATAACCATCTTCAGACTCATCGCTTGAAAACCTCAGATCCTACGTACTGAAGAAGTCATTCAGTTTATAAAGCCACTGCCCACTAATCCCCCCCCCCCCAAAAAAAAAAGCTTTTTTTATTAAGGGCATTGTTGCTGGTCGAATGAAATCCACGATTTGTGTGTTGTCGGTTGAAAACAATGGAAGATCTTTTCTCACATAAGCCCCTTTTCCACCCATCCCGCTTTATATTCCCTATTCATTGTCTCTCTTCTGTTCGTTCGCTATCTGTCTCACTTTCTCTGTTCCAAATCAAATTAACCAATCACATTTTCTGGTTGCATGAACTTGAGACAAATACAGTTTCTAATCTGACCAATCGGTAATGAAAAAGCTGGCTTTGGTATCGTGACGTCATTCTATAATCCAATTGCCGTTCTCGTCGCATTAAACGATTACGTCTGCGTTCCTTTTCGGATAGAAGGTTCCTACGCGGACGTGCAAGGAAGCTTTCCATTGGTCTACATAAATGCACGGAGCTTCATCGTTGGTCGATATTACACGTTTCCACATCGCGTTCCTATGTTGACTCTCGTCTGTTTTGTATTCGGAGAAGACGTTGTTTACCCAGGACACGACAATTCATTATGTAACTGAATTACACCTCCCCTAGGCGAAATTAAACGATTAGTTAAACTGATTTCTAGAATGAATACGTAATTGAATTTCTCGTTAAGTAATCACATTGAACGGAGGAAACCGAATCAAGACGTGCGGGAGAGAAGAGGCAGAGGGGGATGGGGTGAGAAATGGATGGAGAGAAGATATAAAACAGTGAGACATCTTGCTTTTTCCGAAGGTGGCCGAATTTTATTCCCAGGTATTTCTTTATTTGATGTTTTAACTGCGATGGTCGAGGCATTTAAATTCTGTTTCACTTAACGTTAAAGGCAGCCGTCATTAGGCGGTTGGCACTCCTGTTTCATAATTCTGTCCCGGAGGCTGTTTCCTCCTGGTTGAGATTTTTCAACCAAATGTTGGCTAAATATATAAGATAGAAAGCACCTGCTCATTAACGCCATTTGCAATTCACCATTCCTTTCTACCCAATTGACTTTAATTAACCTGTGCGCTTTATAAATCGTCATTAAATAATAATAAATAAATTAAAATCCTAAATTGACAGTAAGAAATGCTATAATCTGCCAACCAAGTTAATACGTAAAATTGTTCTTTCGGACTTTCGCTGTCGTGATAAAGCTTTCCTAGCAGAAGGTGTGTTATCGATTGGGACTCGAAGTGCTGGGTGAGAGGGGAGGGGGAGGATTGGCCAGGTGACGGACGGGGTTGCTTTACCCCTGGTGTCCTCTCCTAAAAATCTAGAAGAACCCTGAAAGTGAGAATATGTTCCCGTAGCTTGAAAACAGAGAGCTACCATATTTTCTCGATTTTAAGTTCAAGTTAAATTTGCTGGAATCGGTGTACGTCTAAGAATCGATATCGAAAATTTGTGAGTGTAAGGTGAATCCTTAGGTCCATAGAACTGTTCATGTGACGGTAAACGCAATGAAAGCAACATAGAAGATGACGAGATTATTAATACAAAGAAGTTTTATGTTTACATATTGGCAGTACTTATTGTAATATACGTTATCTTTTCCTTCAAATAATATTACTGTATCACGGGTGCGTCATACAATCGCCATTATCTATTTAGAATTTTAAAAAATCTTTGATAACAGAAATCTACTCAATTACCCATACATTTTAAATAGCAATATCTCATTTCAAAGATAATATATTTTCCACAGAACGAACTAAACATATTTCATATATTAGGCCTGACGATACAGGCGGTAGGCACCTCTGAACCGTTTACCAATTTTTACGAGACGGCCACCTTCATGTTTTATGTCTTAGGCGTCCATGGCTTTCACGTGTTTAACATTTCTAAGAATATTTCGATAAAGAACATCATTTAATATTTTAAATGTTAATTATTGTAATATTTTAATATTTAATAAGAATTTATCGTGATTAGACGGACAAGATTTAATATATATTTCTAAGAAAGTAAAAGTGAGATCGTACTAATGAATAGCTCAGTCTTCTCCGCTGGCTCCCGATTTCAGTGACGCTAGTGCTCAGACAGATTCATTCGGCCTCTTGACCAAAAAGACTTACAACAATTAATTACGAAAGTTTCCCCCTTGTTCTTGGAGGGAACCTTTTAGCTACTACAAGTTTTCCCCGCAACCCCAAAACTGCACACATTTAAAAAGTTAGCCGATAAAGCCACCACTCAACAGAACTTTGGGAGTTTCATAAAACGTTCATTTGTTACGACAAACATGGCCGTCTGAGTGGCAAAGAACTAACATTTATTAACTCGTGTTATACTTACCGGATCGTCGACAAGACTTACCTTTCTAGTTGTCAGCGATATCCCCACTACAAAATACCACGGAGTGAGGGGCATCAATAATCAGGCAAGAATTGGTTGGTGATAATTTGCTGTTAAGGGATTTTTGACCTTAAGGGATGATATTTATGAATATGTGTTATTATAGCAGATGCCATGGCGATGCTATTGAATGTGCTTACTTATTTAGATTTTTCCCATCATTCTTGACGGGCCTACTCCCAAGTGTCCCGCGAGATGACTAGATTGCACTCTTCTTTAACTATCTATTGCTCTAAGTTTTATTTTTTTGTAACATTTACAAAATCACAAAATCTTCTCTGTTTTGCTTCGTAAGATCTAAGGTTCTGAAAGCGGTGAGTACAAAGACGTATCACCGTGTACTCTGGTAGAAGTTTATCGACGTTTCAGAGGTCCTTGCTGCCTCCATCAGCGCCCTCATGGTGGCGGCAGAGGATGCTCATCGTGGCTTGTTTTAGACATTTGTTTGTTACCAACATGTCTCATGCCACCTCTAGATTTGGAATCATGTCGGCGTCAGGACGCTCAGAACCACAAATTAGGCTCCTCTGCAGCACGAGCCAAATGCTCAAATATCCTTTGCACATTTCTCCTTCAATCAAATATGATGCGTACTTAAACGTGGATGTTACGGGTAAAAAAGGGGTCACAGCCCCACGGACAGGGAAGGATGTCGAACGGAGCAGTAAAGGCATACTTTTAAGGCACTACCCAAAAGTCTGCTTGGAAGAACTGACATAAAACCACGAGAAAGCTGAATCGGGATAGCCGGGGCCCACATTACTTGAAAAGAATACCTCACGAACATTACCACTGCGCTAACCTGCTTGGTGATGATAAATGTTCTGGTACGAATGAATCCAACAGAATTCAATCTATAAATACAAATTTATCTTTCTGAAACCACCTGAAACACTGTCGGCCATTAACGGACGATACACTTCGTCAACTTTAAACCATGTTAAAATGAATTTGAGAGATTTGCTCTTGTAATGCGCACGTAACTAATCAGATTTCTAAGCAGATTGCACTAGGGCTTTTGAGACTGCGCACTAGAAAGCACTTGCAATAGTCGGTCTCTATTTCTCATCATTTGCAACTGGCATATTAGTGTGTCGAGCTGCTCCCCGCCCAGAAGGAATCTGGGCATGTTGTGGAAAGCGCCGCTCAACCGGTGATCGGTTATACGGTCCTGGTTAAAATTGTACGTCCGAATCTTCTCCGACCTCAAACTGGACCCTACCTACAAGAACAAAAAAGAAGGCAAGGAAATGAGCACACGCAAACGACAAAACTGTCAAATTCTGATAAGGAAATCTTTCCTGCGGAACAGAAGTTGTCAGACTTTTCTGATTATCACACACACACGGGCGAAACAGCAGAGGATTTTCTGATGACTGGTGCTCCGTCTCACACAGTACAATGCAACAACAACTACAAAAAAATTGTCAAGAAGACGGTCTGTCAGGCCGACGTCCGACACACAACAGGATGCATCCCTCAAAACTTTATATCCAGACAACTTTATCATTATCAACTCTCACAGGTTAAGCCTCGTGACCTGTTCCAATTAAGAATTATATCTGAAATTATTAATCAGTTTCAACATCTGCCACGCCTCCTTCGACGTGTAATCGGCCTATCGCAAGGCCTCTGCCTACACACGATAGCGCAACACAGAAACAGAAGCAGAAATATCCACGTCTTGAGGAGGATTCACAATAAAAATACATGACACCTGTTGTTTTCTTGCAGCCTGCGTCCTCGAAGCCTGTGCCTCGACTTGCCGTTGATATATTCGAGCTGTCAGCGTCCGCATCGCGATCTCTCGGTTCCTAATCTGTGACCGATCCACCTGGCACTCCACGCTTACTCCTGTACAAACAAGGGGCGGTTTCACTTGTTTGTCCTGGTTGTGCGGATACATATTTATACAATTATAAATTAAAGTCTTTAACTTAGCGAACTTCGTGTGGTCACGTCTTTTCGCGAGATTACAGGACAAAATAATTATAAAAAGGTAGCTAATACATTTTTAAAGCTACCGGTAGGGCCTCCCTAGCCAGATTGGTCGAGGGGGAGAGGTCAGACTAAGACAGGTACCTTGCACCGTAAAAAGGAAGATGTTTCAAAACCTCAATCAAAGCCTCGGACAGACGGACCTAACAGAGGAACGAATGGAAGAAGAGAATTGAGGCCGCCATGGACCAAATATGGACCGGAGAGCCGTAGAATAAGAAGCTAATAAATGCTTTGAAAACGTGGCAAAGTCCAAATATTTGGGAACAATGGTAACACATCATTATCACATTCATGAGGAAATCCGGATTAGACTGAACTTGAGAAATTATTGTTAACATGCAATTTTTTTCTTCCTGTTTGCTGTATTGATAAAAAATAAAATTCACCTGGAAATTTTGTCACATACATCCAGCAACAAATTCCATAAAAATCTTTGTCATCTGAGAGATGCACACAGCTGGACAGACATCATGGCTTAATGTTTGATCATTCATACACTGAAGATAAAGAATCCATAAAAACTAAACTGAAGCCAAAGTTCTCTTGAATTGGTTACGAATCAAATTTACAAAAAAAAAAAAAAAAATTTTGAGTGTGGGCAACTTCCACACATGGAAGCCCAGAAATGGAGTTTCTTCCGCATTTTCAAAGACTACGTTCAATTCTCACCTGTTGGCAGATGAGTTATCCTCACCGCACTTTCAGTTTTGTTCACATGCTGACCACCTGGTCCAGTTGCGCGTTTTGTCTCTACGTGAAGGTCCTTGTCTTGTAGAACAACGTCAACCTACGACATAAAGTAACAGCCAGCTAAAAAACTACACTACGGAACCTGAGACACGAGGTTCTCATGGCAGCAAAGGTGTATATCTTGGTCTTGTGTGTTATGGCACTGCATTATCTTGCGCGTGGTTACCGGCGTTCCAGAGGATCACTGGTGACCACCTACAAGACCACGTGGCATCACAACCCATAAGACTACAACATGGGAATACATTAACTTTGATTCATTAATCCACTTTCTGAGTTGTGTTCTCTATACGGATGACCGTGCCTGTCAAACGCTGGGTTTTTGTGGCCCACAGCTTAATATAACTATCTCTAGAGGTGTCGTTCAGTTGCTACGCAGACTTCATTCTCATAACAATAAACGTACCCTTCCCTAATACCACTTACATTTTGGTAATTCACATCTAGCTTTATATAAATATTCTCCTACATTCCTTAATTGAAATGTATTGATACAGTTTATTAATGTCTGATATGCTACCTCACCATTAACAAAAAGCAGCTCTGAACATCGTTCTGTTTCGACTACAGCGCACAGAACAACAACCCAGCAGGCAACCGTCTTCAACAGATGTACATTTTATAAAATAAAGTGAAAATCTGTCTGAAAAAAATGGTTAAATGCTTTAAATGAGCAGCAAACTGGAGTCTGTGAAAGCAGAATATTGTGGTCTAGTCACATAACTATAAACTGCCGTGTGGCCAAAGTATCTTGTTATTACCTCTTCCGGTTGCAGTAGGACAGCAACAGACACCGTGCTGGTATGAACTCGTCCGGACCTCTCAGTTGCCGGCACCCTCTGCACCCTGTGTACCCCTGCCTCATATCTCAGATACTGGTACACTTCTTCGCCAGAAACGAGCAAACTCGCATGGCGCAGACCGCCTAATTAAATACGTGTGTGTGAAGATAATTCTTTGTATAACATCTTCACTGACTACTTGGTAATAAAACACCGCTTATTCCAAAGCCTGCCACCGGACCCAACCCTGAGCTATTTTACAGCCTTGAGTCTCATTTCATTTTAATATTATCTCCATCTTCCATGTGGCTACTTCTCAGAAAATGTTTCCTCACTCTCTGCACATATTTCTTGTTCCCCAATCCAAGCTGAATGTCAATCCCATCAAAGCTTTCTGAATGTAACACTCCTAATAAATGTTGGCTTTTCGTACATTACGAAGTTTCTCAAAATATTCTCCATTTAATTCATACAGTGGAATTCCCACAAGACATTCTTGATTTCAAGGACCTATTTGATCACAATAAATGTTCTCTGTTTGACTCATAATGGTCCACTAGAACTTATACATCTCAATGCGTTCAGTGATAAACTGGAACGGAACTGCCACTTCCTGGCTCCCAGCTGGAGCTGCTCACTGCGCCACAAGATCTTACTGACATAAGTCAAGCATCGCTTCATAAAAACAATTAAATCAAGAGATGCTGATAATTGTGTCTGTGACAGTTGCGTCTGTGTTTATCAGTGAACGCACTGCAGTAGCGTTTCGCCTTCAACTGACCTAAATCCGAAAGGTCAAGATGACCAACCAGCATTTCCCAGTTTTTGTATGTTATATAATTACAGTACATGTCAAATAACTCTCTGGCAAATAACATGGCCTCCTGTCCACCAACGCCAGCAGACACTTCAAACACAATGTCGCTGCAGCTGTCCTCTTCATCAGGAGGAATGAGAGCTGAAAGCAGCTAGAATATAAGATTTTATGTGTTTATACTGATAACTTATACATGAATTAAGATGCAGTTCTTAATGTAGTCAGGCAACACCAGAAACTTATCTGACTAATCAAATATTATTGCTCAAGATATAAGTTTTTGTGTATACACAGATTCAAACACACCTCGAAATATCTAGATCAGTGATTTATGTTTTGGCATACATAAAAAGAAATGCATTACAACAAAATTTAACCATGAAAACAAACAAATGCAAAAATTTAAATTAAAAATCTTTGTATTTTGCCTCCACTGCTCCCTATCAACACCATATTGAAAGTTCAGTGTTAACTATAAAATAAAAAACTAACATATTCCAAATGGTAAATTTTGTGCTAAATCAGAAATTTCCAGCTACAGACGTACAACAAAGGAAAAATTACAACAGGTGCTAACTATATGATGAAACGTGTTAACTTATTGTTAATATCATTATCATTGTTGTTTATTCATGCTCATTTCACTTTTTATGCTTTTTAACTCATAAAAAAAATACAGATCCTCCCCAGGTGATTTAGCATAATTCTCATAACAAATAGTGACCATTTCATCTAAACTGCATTGACCAATGAATCTTTGTACTTGAGACATATTTCCTTTGAAGAACCAAATTCCTATATATTATTTAAATAAACTTCAATATCAAAGAGTAAATCTGTGAAACAAGACGTGTGTTTAAAGCAACTATCATAAGTATATGATTAAATAAATTCCACAGTCACTCTTCATTATTGCCTTCTAATATAATAATTAACTTACGAACCATGTTTTCCAAAGCCTTAATTCTTCGAATGTATAGCTGCCTTTCTTCATCCACAGCAGACTGAAATTCTTTGTCTTTGGAAACATCTGAAATGGTACAACCATGCTGGTGTCAAATTTATTACTTTCAGAAATACTGCAGTATCTCATAACAAATGTAATACTTCTGGTGTTAAATTTGTTACTTTCTGAAATATTGCAGTATCTCATAACAAATGTAATACTAAAAATTTTAAATAACCCAATTCCATCTTAGATTCAGAACCACGTATTCATATTATTCATATGTACACTTTGCTTTCCCATGAAAAGAGGGGTTTCCAACTAAGTATGATATGGGTAAAGATTCCCTAAATGCAATAGGGAAAATAGGGGGCATGAAGGTAAAGCTTCAAATATTCTAGACCTACATACTACATGTGAGTGAGTGATCAGCTTCAGATTTTGGCTACTTTATCCCCAAACAAAAATAAACCTGAAGCCCACTGGATTTGATGTTCTTAAATTAATAGGCAACATAATACATTCAACATATTCTTAATACTCTGAAATACTGCAGTCAGGAAACAGTGATTTTATTTGAACCAATCTTTTTTCACACTGTACCACCAAAAATGAAACCACAGATTGTTACCCCAATTTTCTACGAATATAACATGTTCTAACCTGATGTTAATTCCTTTAAAGAAGTTAAATTTTCAGTAAGTGCATTTCTTTCCTCAATTATATTAATCACAGGTTGTATTTCAAGAAGTCTTCTTTTCTTGTTGCCCTCATAGCAGTCATCTTCTGTTTTAAGTGTATTGAATTCCATTATAAGATTTTCGAGATACATTTTAACTGCAGGATTATCAAAACTGACACAAAATTCCTGC